GGGGTGGGGGCGGAGGCGCGCCTCCAGCGGAATCAGGAGAGAGCATTCCCGGCATCGGAGGTGGAGGCGGCGGCGGCGGAGGCGGTGGCGCAGCACCCGGGAGGTTATCTGGCATTGGAGGCGGGGGTGGTGGAGGCGGTGGGGGAGCTGCGTCACTGACTTCGATCTTGGGCGGCTCGTTGTCGGTAGGGGTGAGAGGAGATTGTGACTCGAGGCTTGGATGCGAAGGACCAGTAGTCACCCCTTCGCCCTCCTCAGAGTCGCTGGCCTCCTCCTTCTTGCCCCGAGCCTGAATCTCGCTGAGGAAGTTCGCAGCTTGCTTAGGATCCATCACAGGTCTCCTTATCTCCACGACTCTGGGCTTCTCGTACACGATATCGTCTTCGCCTTCAGTGGCCTGCTCGCTCCGGGAGACTGATTCTCCTTGCCCATTGACAGGCTTTCTCGATATCCTGGTCTGTCGGTTGACGGAACCAAGCACACCATTAGCCATGCCAGGCGGTGGAAGCCCTGCGCCGTCTGGAGCATCGGGGTAGCCATCTGCGTAACCATCCATTTCTTCACGTAGTGCACGTAAGCGATCTGACGGATCAACAGTCTCGCCCCAGACTCTGCCTTCGAGCTTGTATTGAGTCTTCTGCCGTTCAAGCTGCATCGCAAGACGATCCATAAGCCTTTCACGATCTAGAATGCCTTTCATGCGAGCCGGATCTTCATCCGCCTTAGCTCCCGTTCCGGTCTTAACAGCCTGCGAGGCGGCAACATCTTGAGCGTCTCTGAGCATCAGATACAATTCTCTTGTTTCCAGCTCATATCGCTGAGCCTCCTTGGCCCGTACCGTCTGCATATTGGCGATCTCGGCTTTGAAGCCATCTGCCTGTCTCCTTTGGGCTTCAATGAAGCGAGCTTGCTCCTCGAGCTGTCTTTGGAGTTTTGCGACAAGTCCATCGGCGCCCAATTCTAACTGAGCTTTCATCTCATCCCGTTCCGCCATAGCAGCATCGGCGATCTGCCTAGCCTCTAATGCCTCATCCAGGGCTTGCCGAGCCTCGGAATCGGTGTGTAGCTTGTCTAGCAGGCTTTGAACCGTGAAGTTGAGGCTTTGCTTGAGGTCCATGTTCGGTAGTCGCCGGTCCATGGCCACATAGCTAAGCATCGAGTCGACGAGCTGGAACATACGAAGTCGCTCCTCTCCGTCGTTATCTCGGATGAGGAGCAAATGCTGGAGAGCGGAAACAAAGTAGTCCTGAGTCCTGCTACCCTGCAGTCGCTGTTGGATCGCATCAACGATCTGAGCCGGGTCATTCAAATCCTTGACTTCTCCCTCGATGCTGTCCTTGATACTGCTGTTCTCCCGCTCGAGCATATCCTCGTAGTCAATAGCTTCATTTGTGCGGTATCGCTCGACCTGCTTGTCTATCAAGTCGTACTGGAACGCCTCCATCTTCGTGAGGATCCGCTTGATCCCACAAGCGCCGAACTGGGCCCTGATATGCATACGCAATTGGAGGTCATTTTCTGGCGCATCAATGATCATATTGACGAGGATGAGCGTTGCAACTGCATATTCCATCAAGAGGTTCTCCATGCCGATACCACCGCTGCGGACTTCATCGCTGGCTCCAACAAGACTGCCCATCTTCCCACGCCCATCCACCGTCACCTCAACGAGTCGCATCCAAGCGTCGAACCGGCCATTTTCGTTCTGCTGGACCTTTACTTGGTCCATAGCCTGGATAACCTTAAGATGGCCATCTCCCTCCTCCCAGTGGCACAGGAAAGTCAAGACATCGCTGACTAGTTTTCGTGTCGTGAGCCTCGGCGATATGAGCGAGGTAGCCAAAGCTACAACAACTTGTTGATGAGCTAGCGCATCGTCGGCGCCGTATTTGTTGTTTAACAAAGCCTTTAGGCACTTTACAATATCATACTCCTTGTCGAGATTCTTGTCGCTCCCCTTTGCGTCTATTGGTGCTGCAGGTCCCACCGCAGTCTTCCTGTTGATTTTCAACAAAACATTGGTGAGAGCCACCTGCCCTTGACATTCGATGAAGCGCTTCACCCAACCGATCTGTTGCGTTCGAAGGTTGACCTCGAGGCTCCCAAGACCCTTCGAGTCCAAAGTGTTGTCCATCACTTTCCTCACGTACCATTCAGGGGAACCCTCCTCGTCAGACTGCGTAGCGACATTGACCTCGGAATATTGTCCTACTCTTGCCGTATTCCTCCTCTTTTGCTCACCCTGCCATTCAGTGAGACGATCCTGGTAGATCAGTGTCCATTTTTTGGAGGACGGATAGGCTTGCATTTGTCGTCGCGCCTGCTCAGGAAGGTTATGCCATCCTCGTTTCTGCATCAACTCATAGAACATCTGCTCGGTGACTCTATCATCGTCCGGCCTGGTCAACGAGAAGCCGTCGGGGCCTCCAGGTTGCTGATACCCCTGAGCGCCCGGGAATCTGGTTAAGCGGTGCGAGTCTCTACTCGAAGGCTGTGATGCAAGGGAACTCTGGGAGGTCGCACTAGGAAGTGCTAATCTGGATGAGCGCTTGAGAGTAAGATAGTCGGGGGATACTCCATTACCTGAGAATACGCTTGAATGATCGCTCTGTCTGGACGTTCTGCCGTAACCCGGCAAAGAGTCCCACCTTTCGTTATAGATAGAGTTGGCGGAGTGAGAAGTGCTTCCCCTCGGCATCTGGCTATTAGCACCAGGGCCCCATTGATGGAACTGGGTCTGGCGACCGGTGGATGCCATAGTGATATTTCCAGCAGGGGGCGCACGTGAAGCGGATTGATGAGAACCGGCGATGCTGGAGAGGGTACTGGCATCAATGGATGGATACTGATGGAAGTCGCTGGTGGCTTTGTTTAGTTGGTGTGGCAGAGGATCTCGGCGCACCGGCAGCTGATCACTTCGAGGTAGGAATTCGACAGGTATAGGACTCCGTTGGTCTGGATGTGTACTATCGTAGGGAATTGCGGTGATGACACCGGCAGAGTTATTAACACCGGTCTCGGGAGAGCTGGGTTGATCGATGGATACTATCGACGAATCCCTAGTGTGTCGAGAAGTACGTATCGATGCCGAGTCGTCGTGGAGGTTGGCGAGGAATCGACCTTCTTCGCTTCCGGTGTGTCGCTTATCGCTTCTATGCTTATTCCTAGAGAAGAAGCCCTTACCCCCAGACAACTGTCTGGATTTGTCGGCAGAGGACATAACTGCGACAGTTGAGGGGAAGAGGGCTGAAACGCCGGCGGCCCAATGATTTTGTGACAGTAATAGCGACAGTGATAGTGATAGTGACAGTGGCAGTAACAGTGACAGTGACAATGAATTTATCCGGCGGTCGGTGGTTCAATGCGAGGTGGTTAAAGAAAGGCTATGAGGGATCTCGGGTTCCTGCCGTCAATGTATTGGATGTCGCAGATGCAAGCCGGATTGCATCATGTTCTCTTGAAAACAAAAAAGACTTCGCAGTGAATGTACGGGTTGGTTTCGGGGTGCTAGGATCGAGGGAAGACCTGCATAAATCAGTGACGGGTCAGCATGAAAATCCGACGATGAAGCAGCTTTGCGTTGCTTGGTCAATTCGGCAACCTGGAACAACTTGAAAGGAGTCGTCGGAAGACACGAGAACATATGGATATGGAAGAATGCAGCGAATTAAACGTACATAGAATGGGTTCAATAAGACACATGCACACAAGGGACTACACGATTCGAATTCAAAAATAGGATTGTAACGTCGTCAACAGCCTTCTCCCCAATAAACCAGCCGCATGTTCTGTTTCGAAATTGGAAAATAGAAAAAAATTAATTGAATGAAAATAAAAAGAAGGTTTGGTAGCGGCCGTCAAAGGAGGTCAGTCAGGTCAGGGTCAGTCAATCAAGGCCAGGTCCAGGTTGTTGGAGAAGACGGGATACAGGCAAGTAACATGCCCAGATCGAAGGTTGCGGGTTGTGCCAATGCACGATGCAGGGCGCACTAGTACCAAAGTAACCATTAATACCTCTGTCAATTTGCGATAAGCGCGTGCATTTGACTTAAAGCGGGAGGCCACTTCAGGGGGTTTGGGGGGGTTAAACTCAATCTTGCCATTTATCATGAGTCGGCACCAACCAGTCGTATATGTATGTACGCCAATAACACTACGTAATACATGTACTGTCACCACGGAGTACATACATGTATCCATTGATACTGTAAAGTACTACACGTAGGTAGGTACCTGGATATTAGGTATACATGTATGTACCACAGACGGCATGTAAGTACCTACTTAGGTAAGCTATCTTCAATTATCCTCTAAACTCTGACCACGCACGTTCAATATAAAAGACAAAGAAAGAGTTTACCGGTATCCTTGATTGAGATCTTGTTACAGATTATAAAATAGTCAGCTGGGTGGTACGTTGCAAGGTCTGTGTGTGCATACATATGTGTGTGTGTATAGTCGTTTCTGAAACTTCCAATGGAACATGAAACCCCCGAACAGCTACTTAGTACCTAGATATGGGTGATGATGCCATGTGAGAAGTTACCCTCCATTATAATCCTTCAACGCTCGCAGCCTAGCCTAGACTGCTAGGTAAACCATCAATTACATACATTATGTACATACCTACGTACATGCATACAAATGATACTTAAGTCCGTGTAATGTGGATATGTGGTTGGCTAATTACATATACGTAAGTTATCGCCTTACACTACCTTATTTGGCTTGACTAGACTGACTGACTGCGGGGATAGAAGAATGACTGAAAAGAGTTCAAAATGAAAAAGCCGATGCGCAAAATAAAAAGGGGTATGGATGATGACCTCAGTGGTACCTACCTGGGGAACCCCGGTCCTGCTACCGTAGGCTTTTCAAAGTTTTCAAGCCACATACTTAGCCCCACAGCCGCAGGAGCCACGAATTGGCAACCTGGTCATGTATGGATGCATCTCGATTTCAACGGACATTTATGTAAAATATGTCCAAAAGATATAAGCTGCTCAGTATGAGGATTGAACTCATGACCTTCGCATTACTTAGTATTTGCTTGGGCAAATATTAGTACGACGCTCTAACCAGCTGAGCTAACCGAGCTTTCAATTATCCAACTGTTTGCAGCTGGTCGGTTGATATTCAAATCTCGAATAATTTGGATTATATATTAAATTTTTGATCCCATGAACGGGACGTATGTATAAGAGCATGAAAAACTCCTCTTACGGACTGAAATATTATGGCGTGCAAAAATAATTTCTCAGCCCGTATAGCTAACTACACATCAGATGACTAACATGCCGAGAGTGCTTATCCTAATTCACTAGGTACCCGAACTTTCACGGATTCCCAGCTAATTCAACGAGAACAAACACATGCTCTATGTTAGAATGTCAGGAGGTTAAGCGTCTTGTTACGGCGGCGCTGTGGCATAGGTGTGAAGCACCCATATAACCCAGACCAGTATTTCAGGCTGCGGTTTGAATTGTGGTTCCCTTTTGGGGTGGCTTGGTACAGTGGTATTTGGGATTAATGCCCTGCCGTAACGTCCCCCAAGGGCTCTCAGATACATTTAAATATTTGACGCTGTTAGTTGATTCAGTAGACTCCAGCCTAATTACATAAATGGTTATATATAGGTATATATACATATACTCTTATTATTCCTAGCATTGCCTAGTAATATAGGAGTCTACTCTTCATAGCTCCGAAATCAAGCGTGTTGGTACTTCGCAATGGACGCAGCGCCCTGTGAGCTATTTTCAGGTAACTCAAATAAACTCATCATACCAGATACTAGCTGAAAAGGCCTCTCTAGCAGACATCCAGAACCTCGCTTGCGACAAGATTCTGCCCATACGCCTCGACGAATCCTTACTCCCCAAGGCCTATGTTAGTCAAAGGCTCAGACTTGGTTGATTCTGAGAAAGCAGATTGGCTCCCTAGCTACACAGCCGGTAACCCCTTTATTCTTAGTGCTATCATAGATGACAATGAGTTGTATTGTTTATTCGGTCCATTTACCGTGGCGTACGATCACGACACCAGGCTGTCGATGCACCCTTACGCCTTTTCAGGTGAAAGATCGTTGTATGTCAGGTCGTGGGCTTGCTCAATGGCAAAGACCTGCTCTCCATTTTTCTCTTCCTCGATAAGCTGACACTGTGGCATCCAATGATTGGCTGGGGTGACCGTCAAGTTAGTCGAACCCGAGGCGGGTGGCGAAGGCGCACCATTAGGGGACGTTGCGGAAGCCGCCTTATTTTCGTGTCGCGTTGGCCTGCTCAAGCAACTCACAAAGGTTTGTTGCGCGCTATGCTCTAAGAGTGAGTGGGATGCAATTATGGGCGGCGGAGAAAAGGGAGACTTAGAAATGATAACAGTGGATTTTTAGGGGGCGACACAACCGCAGTGTTTCTTCGTCAATTGGACACTTCTGACGAAACTCGCGGGACTTTATATAAGTATTCGTCGTGCATATAACAGCCCATGTCCACATGCGGCGTGACTTATATAAAAAGCTCGCCGCTATGAGTACATCTTCCGGTGTCCATTTTTGTCATGGCCCTTACATGAACTTCATGTCCTGCTTACTTCGTGAGCGAAATCCGCGAATGCCTAGGCAATTGACTCCCCTATAACTGCCGATGCCATCTCGTCGATGTGACCCATAACGGTGATGAGCCACGTTCCCTCCCGCCCTTATGAGGAACGAGAAGAACGGCGGCAGGAAAAAAAAAAAAAAAAAAAAAAAAAAAAAAAAAAAAACCACCTACAGCTACATTAGTCCGGAGATTAACAAAGTTTACTTTGAATAAACCCACTTGGTAAGCCATTAAATCTGAAAATTGATTAAGAAAAGATGATAATAGTAATAGGAGTTGGTCGTCGTGGTCGTATAGCTGAGCAGAACTTAGTCCTATTCTGGCATGCTCCTAGCGAACCGCATATACGTCCGGCTTAGTAAATGGCGGAAAGCTGTAAGCAGTAGATGAGAAGATATATAAAGAAATTTGACAGTTGCTTCAACCCTTTATTATCTATAGAAAACTGCTTGATAACAAGACTAATCCCCTATTCTGCCGCTATTGTGCCTACTACCTAAGGAGAGACATCTCTAAGGTTTTTCCACCTAAACCCGCTCTCCTCACAATATAATTCCCCTATATCTATGGAATTTTTGCATATTCTTTCTTCTTTTACTTCACTTATCTGGCAAAGCGCCTTTCATGGCGCTTCCATAGTTTGTACTAGACCACACGCTCATCTCCGGCTTTCTTGAGCAAGACCCTCTTAGACACAAGTTACTGGTCGAAGCATCAGATATAAGCCTCATAATTTTCCCGAAAGTGTCAGTACGCGGCATCTGGCTGAAGGAACGTCAGCCGAGTTAACCCATTTACGTGCCACCAGCCAAGAATGAAGCGAGTGCTCAAGAGAGTGTAGAGATTTAGCCAAAGCTCCAAGGAAATAAGAAAAGTATCAAGAGAGCAGTTAGCACCCAGTGAGTGTTTAGTGCCAGTAATGTATGAACTGTAAATATCGGAATAGCAATCATGAGAAACAACTTCGGTAGAACTGTACCATGGGTTTGCTAAGTCAAGCCGAATAGCTAATTAACTTGTTGCCGATATTGTTCCAAGATATCCCCAAGAGCCCAAGTCACATTTTATTAACACTTCTTGATCTAATACAGATGGAGATATCTCATGTTCTGATTGGCATGTATGCCTACCTTTGACCTGGCTTACTGACACCGGCGGGTCTTTGCTCTCCAAGAGCTATTGTAATTGTGATTGTTGATTAAAATATCTCAGACGCCTCTTTTCATGATACTAGTAAACCGGTCTGAGGGGGTCCCAACCAATCAAATATGTGATGACTGTCCCAATACGTAGCCCATTAAATAAGAATCATATATTCCTGTGATGTGAAACGCGATATACGATATCTACTTGGCTGTCTTCAAGACCACTTACCTTAGTTTCGGTGACTGTCTCTAGCGAATAGACCTACATTATTTTTGGCGATCAGGAAGACCAGGGATGGAACATGTCCATCGGCCGCTATCAACCATCATCATACATCAATTCTTCAGCCGCGACTCAACACGTTCTTGCTGTTAGACCCCTTAAACACCTAACTAGCTTATGCACATGAGTAGACAGCTCAGAACGTGGTAGTTTGTGCGTTTAGCGTCCTGTCAGCACCCTTGTCCTTGTATGTGACAACATCAATATGTGTGCCGCGCAACATCATACTAACTCCTCGGGTTTTTTGTCTGGTACAGACCACCTCCGGCGACACCTGACTTGAACTGTAATCTATATATATTTAGTGTTGCCGGCAGTACGAGCTGAAATCGTAACGACGGCTACGATGATCACGACGAAAACAATCAGTCGCATTATTGTGGGTGTTGGATCTTCGTGGTCTGACTATTGCTGTGATGAACGATATCACGAATGGGCATTGAAGCGGAGATCCAGGACACTGCAGATATTGGAGCACCTGTGCAATATTTCTTAGACAGATGGCGTATAATCTCGGCATGAAACTGGATTCCTTAAGTATTTAAGGATATGTCGATTTCGGCTAGGGGTTGTCCATACCGTACCTCTCCATGCTCCCATACCGAGTGTATTGCAAGTCCATCGTAGCCAACCACCAACACAAGCGCACCAAAGATATCCCAATATACGTCCCGACTTCATTGCTTCATTGATCTTCCTCTCCGTAACGGAAGCCAACATCATCGGTGAGTATCAGACCTAGGGGTAGGTAGTCCATAAGCAGACGGGCCCGTCATTCAACACTAACCAGTCTCCACAGACATCTTTGCCGTCCTGAAAAACATCCACGAGCCTCCGAGCGGGATCACCGCCGACTGTTTCTGGTCCGACACCTCCCCCTTCTGCGCCGGTTTCTGTCCCGTGAACTACGGCGAGTGCCCATCCGGGCTGGGCTAGGGGCACCGCTTCGAGCTACCGTCCTGGCAGAATGTGGATGACGTGCGGATTACTACCACTACCGCTAGGAAAGCGGGTACGTACCTGGATCCAATCATCCGAAGGCGTAGTTAGTGTAATGCCCCTGATCTGACAGACGACGTTCCTGGAACATCGCTACGAGTAGGCGACATGTGTGACTCCAAGTCCGAGCAGCTTTGTTGTTCGCCTGGGGCGAAAACCAGGGAGGACTGTGATTGTGTCCGGCGGGAGCGGCTTGTCGAGCTTAAGAACAAGTGGTATGTACATGCTGGTACGTACTCGTAGGGCGATTACGAGAAGAATATTCACGCTGGAAAGTCTCCCGGGCGGTGAAAATGATCTGTGCAGGCCCGAGGAGCGCTTGTGCCGCAGATTTGGCGCTCGCTCCAATGAGGATTATGGATGCGTGGCTATTGTCAGTATAGCGGCCGACCATATTCTATCTAGATTATTAATGTGACAGTAATTGACCAGCATTGTAGATCTAGGTCCCGGGAACTTTCAAAGTTGGATATTTGAGCGAAAAGAAAGCGAATTAGATTGCAAAGTGATGACAGAGCTGTATTAGGGGTTAAATTCATCATTTTTGTCCTGGGGATCCGATGCTTCCTACAATTGACCACTCGTTTGGTTCTTATTAGTACGTGAGCAGCCAAGCTCAAGCCAATGATTGAGGATACGGAAGGGGTTTTTCTTGTTAGGAGCAAGAAGGCTATCTCGATATTTACACAGTGCCATAGGTATATCTAGTATTTTAGGTACTTATTTAGGTTGAGAAAAGCAGCACAGACGACTACGAGTTGATGTTATCATGTCTTAAGAATTAGTAAATCTACTTCTCTAGTTTCCAAACATTTTTCGCATGGCATACCTGCAACCTAAGCCTCTTATTGAGATTCACTATGAACTGAAGACACAATCGCACTAGGCAATACCGTAGGTATTCTCTTTCTCTTTCTCGGTTCGTGTCGACGAGAAGAAAGAAAGAATTCGAGATCATTTCACATTCTTCCCAAATGCTTGTATGATAGTAAGTTAATATGCTGGTGGTTATATGTGCAAGATAGGATGAAATAGAGGATTGTGCCAACTAGGTAGGGAACCTCGGTG